GGGGCCTTAACTCGAGTTAGCTTACCCTCGATCGACTGGCGAGGTTAAGCTAACTCGAGTTACCTTAACTTGAGTTAAGGCCCCGTGTAGACGCTTAACTCGAGCTAAGGTTCGTCGTGTAGACGAGGCTTATAGTCAGTCTCGCCCCTCTCGCTCTCTCCTCCCCGACTTCTCCCACTCACCCATCCGCACACACGCGGCCTCTGCCTCGTATGCTCTAGTGACTAGTCAGGCACACGCACACGCACGCGCACGCGCACACGCGCACGCGCACACGCACACGCGCACGCGCACACGCCCACGCGCACACGCACACGCACACGCGCGCGCACACGCACACGCACACACACACATACACACGCGCGCGCACACACACCTACACACACACAAACACACGCGCGCCCACACGCATGCACACGCATGCACACGGACACGCACACGCACATGCACACACACACACAATCGCGCGCACGCACGCACGCACTCACGCACGCACGCACGCACGCACACACACACACACACACACACACATACACACACATACACACACATGTACCAACACAATCTTTATTGCCTGTATACGCTCTATTTAGTTGATGATGTTTACACGCGCTCAACATTTTGTGCAGCCCGGTAAACTTGATGGACCGATTCCTCGACCGCTGTTCGTATGCAGTCTGCTTCACATTAACAACAGCAACCTTTCTGAGCCTTCTCATACCTGGTTATTGGGAGTTGCGGTGTCATAGATGACATGCGAATTGTTGACGGTGTGAAAGTACATTTACCAATGATTAAGTATGCTGCCTGGTAGCCTGGAAACCTGGATGCTCGTGCCTGTAAATAATGATCATGCGATGACTGATAACTATGCTCTGAACATTGGGTATGTCTGGTTGCATAGACGGTCACTATAAAGACTAAAGCAATTGTCAAAACGCGATTATGGCAGTAAGCCACTCATGACCAGTTTACTCAGGAGGGCTCCAAGTCAATGTACACAATGTGCGATTACCCGTTGATACCTACCAAAAGATGGTGAGCCTGAGGATCATAGTACCTTGGTAGAAAATCCCAGTTGCCTCTAAAAGCGTTGAGCAAATCGCGTCTGCAACGGGAAAGGGTTTCCACTTGCAAGCTTTGGCAGAAAGATGTCGTCTTTGACATTGCCAGCACACTTTACCCACACAGACAGGCACCTTACAGACATTACCATTCACGCTGCGGGTAATCTAAAAAATCACACGCCATTCACGTATGAAGTCATAATAGTTATTCTGGGATAATACCAATAGATTTGTGAGGATACTACACAATAAATGTTAGTAATAATTAATGATACTACACAATAAGGGACAATGTAGGCCGACGGTTTCTCTGTACCTCATCTGTATTGCCATTTTTTATGACGCAATAAACGCACTCCGTTGGTGCAGAGCGTCGCGGTTAGACTCGATGATGTAAGCTATATAACCTAAGCAACTAGTGTATGTGCACGTTACATGTGTCGTCGGGAAAGGAGGTGACTTTGCAGTGTGCCTACCGGTAGAATGCGACAGTGGCCATGATGCTGTAAGAGATGATGAGGGTGGCAAGCACAGCGGAAATGTACCAGCATATTTTTACTGCTGACTTCATATCAGAATCCTCTATGTTCTCCGTTACTGTCCTTGCGCCAAAGAAAACCAAGATGGACGTCTGGAAAAAGAACGAGTGTGGGAAACAGGAAACAGCACGCGTGTGCCCGTGATAGCTGCGTGCTCGCGACCGCCTGATCTCAGACAAATGCCTCCTGAATTGCTCTCTTCGAAGCAATATGTTTTCTAATCTGCTGGCCTAAAGCTAGTAAAACAACAGTTGAAACGAACTGGCTTCTGACTTCGATTAGTTCCTGAGTTATTTAGCAGTTGAGTTTATTACTCACCCAATAGACGATGAGGAAAGCCAGCAGCATCGACGCTATCATTCGAGTTGAATACTTGAAGCCTGGATGACTGCGGTACAGGTAGATGTTTTTGTACATCTCCAACCAGAAACGATCGGGGCCCGTCGAGCTAGAAGGTGGAACACGCAAGGTTTAAGGCCAGAGGCTTAATTCTGCAAATTATTCTATTGCGACATCGTCTCGGTTGAATGTGTTATGCTCGGTAAACGTGGAATAAACAATTATCACATACAACCATTATATCATTTGAAGAAATATTAATAGAGAATCTATTACCACACTTATTAGGATTACAGAATCAATTACAATATTCCATACGCTCGCCTAATTCCCGTCTCGGCATTTGTCTTTAATACATGGGAATCCGCATTGGATCCTTGTCTTGCAGAACCTGTTCAGATCTCCAATTCACACACGGCACCAGCCTCCCCTTTTATAAACTATGCGCGTAAGCATTGTATCTACAGGCACTGCCGCACGAGCGAACAGCAGACACAGGAGTGAACTCACGAGCGAACACACGAGCAGACACACGAGCAGACACACGAGCGGACACACGAGCGAACACACGAGCAGACACAGGAGCGAACACACGAGCAGACACAGGAGCAAACACACGAGCGAACTCACGAGCGAACACACGAACCAACACAGGAGCGAACACACGAACCAACACACGAGGAAACACACGAGCGAACTCACGAGCGAACACACAGGCGAACACACGAACGAACACACGAGCGAACTCACGAGCGAACACACGAGCGAACACACAAGCGAACACACGAGCGAACTCACGAGCGAACACACGAGCGAACACACGAGCGAACACACGAACGAACACACGAGCGAACACACGAGCAAACATACGGGCGAACACACGAGCGAATTCACGTACAAACACACGAGCGAATACACGAGCGGACACACGAACCAACACACGAGGAAACACACGAGCGAACTCACGAGCGAACACACAGGCGAACACACGAACGAACACACGAAGAAACTCACGAGCGAACACACGAGCGAACTCACGAGCGAACACACAGGCGAACACACGAACGAACACACGAGGAAACTCACGAGCGAACACACGAGCGAACTCACGAGCGAACTCACGAGCGAACACACGAGTAAACTCACGAGGGAACAGACGAGCGAACTCCCGAGCGAACATACGAGCGAACACACGGGCGAACACACGAGCGAACTCCCGTGCAAACACACGACCGAACACACGAGTGAACTCACAAGGAAACACACGAGCGAACACACGAGGAAACACACAAGCGAACTCACGAGCGAACACACGAGTGAACACACGAACGAACACACGAGCGAACACACGAGCGAACACACAAGCGAACACACAAGCAGACACAGGAGCGGACACACAAGCGAACACACGAGCGAACACACGAGCGAACACACGAGGGAACACACGAGCGAACACACGAGAGAACACACGATCAGAGACCGGTGTACTCACGTATCTGTAGGTAGTTTGCGTTTCAGTAACAGCGCCCGCACGTAGAGAGCGTGGTGGTCCGAAGTGATCATCGTTTCCGCCGACTAAACAAGCAGAACACAGAGTAGACGCAATAGCAACTACCGAGCTATCGTAGCGACGAGCAAAGAAATTGTCGAGGTGACAAGAGATTCTTCACAGTAAATTACTACACAGTGTATAACGTTTACGGACATAGCGTGTAAGCGATCAATAAATACTCTGCGAACTACATATAATTAGGAGAAAGATAAAAGGTTAAGCAAAGATAAGCTAAAGATAAGTAAAATGAGACTTTGTGTTTCTCCTTATATAATCACACAGTGGCGCCACGTGTGATCTTAGAAGAGGTAATAGGCGGATAATATATAGGGTTTAGTCTCCATCCACGCATCGTGCTAAAATTTTATTGGGTATTTTGTACTCGCTAGTTTGATATATACGTGTATATAGGAACAGATTAGGTACGTGTAATTATATAACGCGGAAAACATAAACAATACAACGTAATGAGTGTTGCTTCTTTGAAATCGCCTAGTCACCCTGAACGGAAACATAGAATAGAATTGACCGAAAATAACGTGTAGCGACAGTATTATTCGCGCTATACCTTGTCTCTTTCTAGTAGGTCTCGGTTGCCTTCTTTTATTTCCAAGAAAAGAAGTACCAGGAAGCGTATAAATATGAAGCTATACCCTGCGATGACGACTCCGTCAAGCATGCCCACGTAAGCGGCCTGGAATCATGACGAATGATGTGTACAGTAAACCTTTATTATATTCATGTAGCCTAAGAACTTAGCTTAATAATAAGAATGGTTATTCGTAGCGAAACACCATCGAGTGATCAGAAGCGTACTTACCTGTGGTGAACATGCTTCCAGTGAAAAGAACTGCACCAATTTGATTACCAACCTGAGAACAATATTATGCTAATCAGAAAGATGTAAAAAACTGCATGGTGACGATCGTACTATATACCTTCCCAGCTGCACTATTTAATCCCCCACATAACTAATTTCAAACGTTGTTTTATACATTGATAATTAATCTATCGTGAAAGCTTGCGTAGTGCGAACACCTGTACGTAGCCAACGCACATAAATAGTCTAATATAACCTATACATAATGTAATCATGTGACAGATGAACGCGCAAGATTTCTAAATCATCTCACAGTACAAGTAACAAAATTGTGAGCGAAGATTATATATTACCAGGAGCTAATAATACTAATTACTATTGGCTCTTGATAGTACTCATTCATCGAGGTAATGATCATCGTTGATCAGATCTCCCTCATTATAGAACTCACCACATTATAGAGTAGGCACAGCCAATGCTGTAGCCTATCAGATGATACGGGCTACTGAGACAGGAGAAGAATGGCGAGTGTGCGATGACGACCGCTATCAGCATCTCAGCGTAAACAAACACTAGACGGGTCAGAAATATGTGATATCGGCGCTTTAAATTAACATCAATTATCACGTTAGCATTGGCAGTATTGACCACGGCGCCGTAGAAACGCTCAGTATTGTACAGAGGCAACACGCACCCCTTAAATTAAACACGGGTGGTCCGAGCTGTAGAACAAATAGCAAGAACTGCAGCATGCTAGTGCAGCAGTCACTTGCAATAAATAAGCCATTCGTAGAATCACACAAGTGATGATGCGAGCGGAATACATGTGACCATCGCTCCGAGATCGGGTTTCGTGGTGAGAGACGACGTCCGATGACA